GTCACAGTTCGATTCCCAATCAGGGCACACGTCCTGATCTCGGGCTTCATTCCCAGTGTGAGGCATGCAGGAGGCAGCCAATGAATGATGCTCTTTCTTCATTGATGTTTCTCTCTCCCTCTCTCCCTTCCTCTCCGAGTTTGCTGCTGGGCCACTGGCTGGCTGCGGGGGCGTGGCCTTCGGGCACATCTTCCAAGATGGCCGCCCCCATTCTGACTTCACAAGGGGAGCGGCAGCCATCTTACTAAGTCGGGGGAGGAGGAGGGAGAGAATCCCGTGCTTTGGAAAGAAGCCCCCCTTTTCCTCAAACGGCCACTGCTGAACAAGAAAGGGGGCCTGACAGGGTGCGTGACCGGAAGCGGAAGGAAGTTGGGAATTCTTTGAAACCTTCCGGGTCGCGCTGAGGAGGTTACCGGCGAGGCCCGTTAGGAATGCTCAGACCGGGGCCGTTGGTGGCGGCAGTGCTCGCTGAAGGCCGCCTGGGGGCGTTGGCGGTGGGCTGGGCTGGGGCGGGGGTGTCTGATGGTGAAGAGTTACGGGAGGGGCCGCTTGGCTGTGAGGGGCCTTGTCCAGGGAGGCGGGGGGGCCATTTTGCGGCGTGAGCCTGAGGCGGCTTCGGGAATCTTCGCTGTGTCTGGCGGCTGCGTGGGGCGGCGACCACCTCAGTGCGATGGCACATCACAGCCTGTGGACTCAAATGACTGAACCTCCGGGCCGTGATCACGCCCCACCGCCAAGCGGCCCCTCGCGTAACTCTTCACCCTCAGACGCCCTGCCCCAATCTGCGCATGCGCAGTCGCATAGCAACGGCCCGCGCACGCCCACCCGGGACGGCGGCTGCGCATGCCCTTTAGGAACCGCCGCGCCTATTGTGACGCTATGGACAGCGGAAGTGAGCACCCGGCTCAGGGAGAGCGACCGTCACTCCGAGCCGGCGGGGTTGTCCCGGCGGCGGAGAACGCGTTCTCCAGCCCAGGAAGGGAAGACACCGCGCTCTAGGAGGGACAAGGTAGGCAGGTGTATTGAAAAGTAATTCCAGCCGAAACCGGTTTGGCTCAGTGGTAGAGCGTCGGTCTGCGGACTGAAGGGTCCCAGGTTCGATTCCGGTCAAGGGCATGTACCTTGGTTGCGGGCACATCCCCAGTGGGGGGTGCAAGAGGCAGCTGATCGGTGTTTCTCTCTCATCGACGTTTCTAGTTCTCTATCCCTCTCTCCTCTTCTATGAAAAAAATCAATAAACAATATATTTTAAAAAAAAAAAAAAGGGAGGGAGGGAGGGAGGGAGGGAGGGAGGGAGGGAGGGAGGGAGGGAGGGAGGGAGGGAGGGAGGGAGGGAGGGAGGGAGGAAGGAAGGAAGGAAGGAAGGAAGGAAGGAAGGAAGGAAGGAAGGAAGGAAGGAAGGAGAAAAGTAATTCTAGTCCTGGCCGGTTTGGCTCAGTGATATAGCGTCGGTCTGCGGACTGAAAGGTCCCAGGTTCGATTCCGGTCATGGGCATGTAAAAGTGTAACAAATGTACATTGGTTGCGGGCACATCCCCAGTAAGGGTTGTGCAGGAGGCAGCTGGTCGATGTTTCTCTCTCATCGACGTTTCTAGCTCGCTCTCTCTCTCTTCCTCTGTAAAAAAATCAATAAAATATATATATATATATATTTTTTTTTTTTTAAAAAGAAAGAAGAGGTTCAAAAAAAAAAAGAAAAGAAAAGTAATTCTAGCCCTGGCTGGTTTTGCTCAGTGGATAGAGCGTTGGCCTGCGGACTGAAGGGTCCCCAGTTCGAATCCCGTCAAGGGCATGTACCTTGGTTGTGGGCACATCCCCAGTGGGGGGTGTGCAGGAGGCAGCTGATGGATGTTTCTCTCTCATTGATGTTTCTAACTCTCTATCCCTGTCCCTTCCTCTGTGTAAAATATCAGTAAACATATATTTAAAAAAAAAAAAAAAAAAAAAAAAAAAGAGTTCAGTGAGGTGAGTGCTGAATATGTTTAATTGCTGAGAAACGACCAGACATTTCCAACGTGGCTGTGCCATTTTACATTCCTACCGGAAGTGCTTGAGGGTTCCAGTTCCCCCACATCCTGTCACCAACACTTGCTCTTTCCTTGGCTTTGTTATAGGCATTCTAGGGGCTGTGACGTGGTATCTCAATGATGATTTTGATTTACAGTTCTCTGAAGATTAATGATGTTCAATATGTTTTCTTTTTTCTATTTCTTTTTTATTAAAGTATTTTATTGATTTTTTACAGAGAGGAAGAGGGATAGAGAGTTAGAAACATTAATGAGAGAGAAACATCGATCAACTGCCTCTTGCACACCCTACACTGGGGATGTGCTCGCAACCAGGGTACGTGCTCTTGACCGGAATGGAACCTGGAACCTTTCAGTCCACAAGCCAACTGTCTATTCACTGAGCCAAACCGGTTTCGGCTCAACATGTTTTCATGTGCTTATGCTGCACATAAAATTGAGGTACATGTTTCTTTACTAAATATATTTAGCATTTTTAATGACTGCATAGTATTTCATTAGATGTGTGTACTTTTATCCATTCAATTACTCCTCTACTAGGCCTAAATAATACTTTTGCATCAGCTTTGCATGCATTTGCCATTATTTCCTTTGCAAACATTTCTAGACGTGGATTTTGGATTCTAGTAATATCTCTATTGAAAGTATTCAATGCACAGTATTAAACTGTTCCCACAAAATATTCACAGTCATGTAACACTTATAAAAAGTGTGTGTTTTAAGAATGTTACCAATTTTCAGATAAAAATTTTGTAATCATCTGACTAAAATTTTTTAAATAATTTTTAATTGATTGAGAGATTGGGAGAGAGAAACATCGATTTGTTGTTCCACTTATTCATTCATTCATTGGTTGCTTCTTATATGTGCCTAACCAGAGATTGAACCCATGACTTTGGAGTTGGGATGACGCTGTAACCAAATGAGCTACCCAGCCAGGCCTAAAGCTTGCTTGCTTATTTATTTATTTATTTTTAAAATATATTTTATTGATTTTTTACAGAGAGGAAGTGAGAGGAATAGAGTTAGAAACATCGATGAGAGAGAAACATTGATCAGCTGCCTCTTGCATATCCCCTACTGGGGATATGCCTGCAAACCCAGGACTGGAATCAAACCCGGGACCTTTCAGTCCACAGGCCGACGCTCTATCCACTGAGCCAAACCGGTTTCGGCTTATTTTTTAATTAATATATTTTTGTTTATTTCAGAGAGGAAGAGAGAGAGAGATAGAAACATCAATGATGTGAGAGAATCATTGATTGGCTGCCTCCTGCACAATCCCCACTGAGAATTGAACCAGCAATCCGGGCATCTGCTCTGACCAGGAATTAAACCGTGACCTCCTGCTTTATAGGTTGAAGCTCAACCACTGAGCCATGCTGATTGGGCTAAAACTTATTTTTGATATATGCTTACTCAAATCTCTGAAACTCTGACTGCTGATTAATCATGTTAGGAAATGTCTTATAATTTGCTTCATCTTCTCTTATTGATTATTCTCACTTGGTTCTTTATCCAGTCAGTGGGGTCTCATTTCCAGAATGGAATAGATAACAGTGCTTACACTGCTCATCCTTGCCTTGCTCTTGACTTCAGAGAAAGTATGTCTATTGTTTGACGGGACAAATGTAGGATGGATTAGACTTTTCTCACTTGATGTTTTGACGTTGCTGTTGCTGATAGGTTCTTGGAGCTGCCTCTTCCGCCATAAAGTGTCTTCTCTCTCTCTCTCTTTCCCTCTCTCATAATGTCATTGGTACTTTTTAAAGAGATAAACTGATGCAAATGCAATTTAAATGATATTCTTTAATCGATCTTCTTTCCTCTCCAGAGATACCCACAGTTTTGTGTGGGAAGCCGTGTTCCGTGGGGCCCGAGGGCAAGGATGGAGCATAGGGTAGGGACGCCTACCTGCTCTCCTACAGGGGATTGAGCACAGGGTAGGGACGCCTACCTTCTCTCCCCTAAACCTTCAGGGTCAGCTAGGGACAGGGCAGACCATAGCCCCATTGTTAGGGAGTGCGCGTGATGCACGACTTATCTGGATGTTCTCAGCTAAGCTGTTCTCAATGATATCTAGCCAGATGCTTGCTCTATGTATCTTTTTCCAAGAATGCCTTGAGTTGCTGACGGGCGGCCTTGTCCTGGGAAAGAGGCACTTGGAGAAACGCCCAGAAAGGCCGCATAAATGTACGCCTGCAACTAATAAAGTTATTGCAGTCTCATCATGGACTAGCCATCCTCTTGAAGCCCCGCTTTCTCTTGTCTTTATTTCTCTTAAACCTCCTAGCCCTACCTTCAGGACCTGTGAAACCGGCTGGATCCGGTAGTCTTGAACCTGTTTTATGTAATGCGTGTTTTACACTGTTACAAAGTGTGTATACATCCACAAATAGTAGTCTTGCTCTGTATGCTTTAATTTTTTTTCTACTTGTTTTCCTTGGTATCACATAATGATTAGTGAAATGCTTGGCTTAAGACATTTGTCTTTAAACTGAAGTATGTTTACAAAGATACATGAACACATATAATACTAAAGAAATAGGTGCCCGGATCCTTGCCTTTTTAAAAAATATATATTTTATTGATTTTTTTACGGAGAGGAAAGGAAAGGGATGGAGAGCTAGAAACATTGATGAGAGAGAAACATCAGCCAACTACCTTCTGCACACCCCCTACTGGGTATGTGCCCGCAACCAAGATACAGGCCCTTGACCGGAATCGAACCCGGGACCCTTCAGTCCACAGGACAACGCTCTTATCCACTGAGCCAACCCGGTTTTGGCCGGATCCTCGCCTTTCATATGTCTCTGTCCAATAATGTGTGAGACGTGCCCTGCTGTGGGGGCATCACATTATGCTGGCCCAGAGGAAAAGTACACTCACAGCGAATTTACTTTTCAGCCCGCAGGTCCTGGCTTGAGGACCAAGCTCTACCAGGTGGCCTGAGGAGGAGGTCTGAGGACCTGGATGTCGTCATTTGTGGGGACACCAGCAGAGTCTACGAGTTCTCCCCAGAAATTTAGAGCAGCTCGAGAAGAGACCAAAGACACGGCGTCCATCTTCCTGGCCATTCCCCGATCACAGGAGAAAATGATTAAGGACCAGGTGACTTCGGGTTGTTTTATCTTTCCTTCATTCTGTGATTGGTTCCTGGAAGGCTTGACAACACAACTGAATTACATGGAAGAGTCCCATTTGTGCAGAAGGAAATTTAGCCTCTCACTTCAACCTTAAGGCAAAATAGGATGAGGAATGTATTGTTTCCGGGAGCCCCGCTAAATAACTGATGTTGGAACATGGTGTGACTGGAGCATCGTATGGGTTACATGAGCTGTCACCTTCTGTCCAATATCTCTGATGGCCCTCCCAGCCAGAGAACCGTGATGAAGACAGGCTATTCACTGACAGGGAGGGGCAGCAGGCCCTTCATAGGTGTTTCCTGACATTTAGGTTTAGGACATTTTGAAATATAAATATAAATATATATTTATTAATTTCAGAGAGGAAGGGAAAGGGAGAGAGAGATAGAGAAACATCAGTAATGAGAGAGCATCATTGATCTGCTGCCTCCTGCACACCCTACACTGGGGATCGAGTCTGCAACCCGGGCATATGTCCTTGACCAGAATCGAACCTGGGACCTTTCAGTCCGCAGGCTGACACTCTGTCCACTGAGCCAAACCAGTTAGGGCGTGCCTCACCTCTTATTACCTTTCCACCACACATTGTATATGTGGTCCGTCGATGGCCAAAACGTTGTTATGTAGCACGTGATTATATTTGAGTTTTTTGAAGGCTGCTGTTTATGTTCTTAGTCTGCTCAATGACTTGAATAGTCTCCTGTTCTTTGGGCATGTTTTGGAAAAATGCTTTAGTCCTCCTAATGTATAAAATGTATTTGTTGCCGGAGCCGGTTTTGCTCAGTGGTAGAGCGTCGGTCTGCGGACTGAAAGGTCCCAGGTTCTGGTCAAGGGCATGTACCTTGGTTGTGGGCACATCCCCGGTAGGGGGTGTGCAAGAGGCAGCTGGTCGATGTTTCTCTCTCATTGACGTTTCTAGCTCTCTATCTCTCTCCCTTCCTCTCTGTTAAAAATCAATATAATTTATTTTTTTAAAATAAATAAATAAAATAAAATGTTGTGACTTGCAGTTATACTGTGTGCATTTTTTTTTTCCTGGTTGATTCTGATGATGGCTATCAAGATTGACAGTAAATTTAGGAATGGAATATGTTTTAGTTACCTTGATATTAGTAGTATATGTTTAGAACCTGGCAAATATGTGCCTTTAATATATATATATATATATATCTGCAAATATTTCTGGTTTTAGCAAGAGGATTTAATGACTACTTATTACATAAATACTTGATTTGTAGAATGATGGTTGACTGCACAATTACAGAATAGTTTACTAGAGACTGATGTTGAATATGGATAGATTTTGCTTCTATAGCAATATAGTTAAAAAAAAAAAAAAAATATCAAAACAGCCCTAGCTGGTTTGGCTCAGTGGATGGAGTGTTGGCCTGCAGACTGAAGGGTCCTGGGTTCCATTCTGGTCAAGGGCACATGCCCATGTTGCAGGCTCGATCCCCAGTGCTGTGCGGGTGAGAAGGCAGCCAATCAGTGATTCTCTCTCATCAATGATGTTTCTATCTCTCCCTCTCCTTCCTTCCCTCTCCGAAATCAATAAAAATAGATTTTTTTAAAAATCAGAACACTTGATATACACGTAGCATGTATGGTAAAAGTGAGCAGAACAACTTTCTTCACATCCTTCTCTCTCAATAACAAGAGACACACTCCCTGGTAAACAGGCCCGTGTTGTTACAGGAACCGCTGACGCTGGAGGATGTGGCCGTGGACTTCACCCGGGAGGAGTGGCAGCTCCTGGGCCCCGAGCAGAAGAACCTGTACAGGGACGTGATGCTGGAGACCTACCGCCACCTGGTGTCCGTGGGTGAGGACAGCTCCCCTGTGTCACTCCGAGGGTGGCCTCTGATGGCCTCTGAAAGTCTGGAGTGTCTGTGATGCTCCGAAGCAGGAGATGAGTTTCAGTCCCCTCTCTGGTCCCAGGTTAAAGGGCATAAGGTTCCTAGTACAGAGAAAAGCCTTTACTTTGCTGACCCGCAGGCTGCGTAGTTCCTAAGGCCGTGGTCGGCAAACTCATTAGTCAGCAGAGCCAAATATCAACAGTACAACGATTGAAATTTCTTTTTTTCTTTTTTTTAATATATTTTTATTGATTGTTTTTAGAGAGGAGGAGAGAGAGAGAGATTTAGAAACATCGATGAGAGAGTCATTGATCAGCTGCCTCTTGCACGCCCCCTACTGGGGATGCGCCCGCAACCAAGGTACATGCCCTTGACCGGAATCGAACCCGGGACCCTTCAGTCCGCAGGCTGACGCTCTATCCACTGAGCCAAACCAGTTTCGGCTGAAATTTCCCTTGAGAGCCAAATTTTGAAAACTTAAACTATATAGGTAGGTGCATGGTTATTAACTTTATCAGGGTACTCCTAAGCTGGCCTTTGCTAAAAACTCAAGGGGCCAAAGAGCCGCATGTGGCTCACAAGGTGCAGTTTGCCGACCGCTGTCCTGACACATTCTTCTGTGTTAGCACACCAAAGCCCACCGGCATCTCTTCTGTCACTTCCCGTGAACAGGGTATCCCGCCAGCAAGCCAGACACGCTGTCCAGATGGGAACGAGGGGAGCCGTGGACCAGAGAAGATGGACTCCACAGAGGGATCTGCTCTGGTGAGTGAGCGAGAGAGCAGGGAAGGCGGCCAAGGAAGTCTGGTCTAGTCCTTCAGAGGCGTCAGGGCCGGGCGGTGCCCTGAGGTCACGTACTCAGAGGCTCCACGAACCGCCCATGAAACAGCTCTTTTTCTGCAGGAGTTAGAGGATCGTGTCTCTTCTTGGACCTGACCCCTGTTTGTTTCATCGAGGTCTTGATCCCCCCCCCCCCCCGCCCCACGTTTCTTCTTATAATTCTCAATCTCACCGCCTTCCTTCCCCCAGGAACAGTACCCGTTCCTTCATTTTCTTGCTCAGAAATTCCACCTCCGTTGCCTCTGTTCAAAGAGAGATGTGTGACGTTGGCGCTGTCTTCTGACTACAGCACCTTCCTGCCCCGTTGGATAAGGCTGTTTCCCTTCCTAACACCCGCCCCATCTTTGATTGGGGGTTAGGATTTTTATTTATTTTTATTTATTTATTTATTTTTTTTTGTCCATCGGTTTGGCTTATATGCATGCATACAAGTCCTTTGGTTGATCTCACCCCCTTAACCCCAACCACAGGTTTGACAGTCTGATTGATACGTCTCTGGATCTGTTTTTGTTCATCTGTTTATGTTGTTCATTATATTCCATAAATGAGAGAGAGCATGTGATATTTATCTTTCTCTGACTGGCTTATTTTGCTTAGCATAATACTCTCCGGGTCCATCCATGCTGTTGCAAATGGTAAGAATTCCTTCTTTTTTAACCTCAGCATAGTATTCCATTGTATAGATGAACCAGGGGCCGGGCGGTGCCTGAGGTCACGTACGCAGAGGCTTCACGAACTGCCCATGAAGCAGCTCTTTTTCTGCAGGAGTTAGAGGATCGTGTCTAATCCACTCATCTGCTGATGGGCACTTAGGCTGTTTCCAAATCTTAGCTATGATAAGTTGTGCTGCTATGAACATAGGGGTGCATATATCCTTTCTGATTGGTGTTTCTAGTTTCTTGGGATAGAGTCCTAGAAGTGTAAAAGCCAAACTCTAAATGTTATACTAAATATAAACTTGATGCCATGCCTTCATCTTTGTCTGCACACTTTCTCAAACATGATCTCCTTCAGTCCTCTGTCCTTATATATAATATTTACAACTAATGATTCCCACATTGCTATCTCCAGTTAAGACCTTTTTCAGGATTTCTATATCCAGTTGAGTTCTTTGTGTCTGCATTGGATATCTAAAAGCCAACTGAAGGTTGATGTGCTTATTGTGAATTTCAATAATTCCCTTCCTCATGAAAAGGCACTATCCACCACCCTGGCTGATGTGGTTTTGTTGGTTGGAGTGTCGGCCACACACCAAAGGGTGTCAGGTTTGATTCCCAAGTCAGAGCACATACCTGGGTTGCCGGTTCAATCCCCGGTCAGGGTGTGTAGGGAGGCAGCCAATCAGTGTTTTTCTCTCCTCTCTCTCTCTAATCAATTTTTTAAAAATTTTAATGAAAAGGCACTACCTTATATTACCTGATTCTTCATACTTATTAATCACCCCTACACTGAAACTATGAGCCTTACCTTTTTCTTCTCTTCTGATTATATCCTGATTTCTTCCACTGTGCTTGCCATTGCTCCCCCAAACCACTTTCCACAGTTTGTACCTGCCTTCTTTATCATTGCTTTCTGGTTCACTTTTCCCTAACCAGAATGCTCAGTGAATATAAGGACTGTTTCTATACGCTCATGACCAGCACAAGGCTTGGTACATAGTCATCATTTAATAAGGATTTATGGATGTCTGAATGTGTCCCACATCATTTTAAAATAAATATCTATCTACTATGCTCCAGTGCTAATAGTAATTTGATTTTACTATCCCAGCATGCTTTAAGAGGTTATCAGAAAGCAAGCAAATTTTTTTTTAATATATTTTATTGATTTTTTTTTTACAGATAGGAAGGGAAAGATATAGTGAGCTAGAAACGTCAATGAGAGAGAAACATCGACCAGCTGCCTCTTGCACACCCCCTACTGGGGATGTGCCCGCAACCAAAGTACATGCCCTTGACCGGAATCGAACCTGGGACCTTTCAGTCCGCAGACCGACACTCTATCCACTGAACCAAACCGGTTTCGGCAGAAAGCAAGCAAATTTATATTTACTCATTTAAAAGAAAAAAAAAATTTTTTTATTGACTTCACAGAGGAGGGGAGAGGGAGAAAGATATAGAAACATAAATGATAAGAGAATCGTTGATTGGTTGCTTCCTGCATGCTCCTTACTGGGGATTGAGCCCAGAACCTGAGTGTGTGCCCTTTTTTGTTTTTTTAATCTTTACCTGAGGGTATTTTATCATAGCCTTTTTTTTTTTTTTTTTTCTTTAGGGAGAGGGAAAGAGAGAAAAATACCAATGTGAGAGAAACATACCTGCTACATGAGCCTGGACTAGGGGCCAGTCTGGGGAGGAGCCCGAAACCAGGGTACATACCTTTGACCAGAATCAAACCCAAGACCCTTTGGTCTGCAGGCCAACACTCTATTCACTGAGCCAAACGAGCTAAGGCTGTATTTACTCATTTGGAATGAATTATACCTTATTTGTACAATGACTGTTTTTAGCTTTTCTTTGTTGTATTTTAACCTTGTCTAAGTGATAAACATATTTGCTTGGAGTTTCTTTAAACTGAGATCAGTGTTATCAATAAAGCATCAGTATTCACAGAGCTGTTAGTGAAATAGTATTATTCTATACCAAGTTCATGCAAAGGTTTTTTTTCTTGTCTTTTCTAGAAACCAAGAAAAATGATGGTTACCTACAGAGGCATTTGAAAACTCAAAGATGTTTAAAGAGAACAGAACAGTGCCATGAACACAAGACATTTGGAAACATTGTTCATTGGAGTAAAAGTAATTTTCCTTTAAAGCAAAATCATGATACATTTGACTTGGATGGGAAAGCACTGGAATCAAATATAAGTTTGGTCAACCAGAACAGAAGCTGTGAAGTAAAGAATCCAGTTGAGGTCAATGGACATGAGAAATCTTTCCTCCATGCAAATCATGAGCAACATCATACTGAAATAAATTTTCCTGAATGTGTTAATTCTGTAAATACAAACTCCCAATCCCTCAAGGCACAAAGGACTCAGAAGATAAGTAAACCTCATGTATGCAGTGAATGTGGGAAAGACTTCATCAAGAAGTCTCGCCTTACCGATCACCAGAGAGTTCATACGGGAGAGAAACCTCATGGGTGCAGCATATGTGGGAAGGCCTTCTCCAGGAAGTTCAGGCTCACTGAACATCAGAAAACTCACATAAGAGAGAGACGGTATGAGTGCACCGCATGTGACAAAGCCTTCCCCAAAAAATCACGGCTACTCGCTCATCAGAAAACCCACACAGGAGAGAAACCCTACGTTTGCGATGAATGTGGAAAAGGCTTCATCAAGAAGTCTCGGCTCGTTAATCATCAGAGAGTTCACACAGGAGAGAAGCCTCATGGGTGCAGTCTGTGTGACAAAGCCTTCTCCAGAAAGTCCAGACTCATTGAACATCAGAGAACTCACACGGGAGAAAAACCTCATGGGTGCAGTCTGTGTGACAAAGCCTTCTCCAGAAAGTCCAGACTCATTGAACATCAGAGAACTCACACGGGAGAAAAACCTTACGAATGCACAGAATGTGACAAAACCTTTCGCTGGAAATCACAGCTCGGTTCCCATCAGAAAACTCACACAGGAGAGAAATCGTTCATATGCAGTGACTGTGGGAAAAGCTTCATCCAGAAGGGCAATCTCATTGTACATCAGCGAACTCACACAGGAGAGAAACCCTATGTGTGCAACGAATGTGGCAAAGGCTTCATCCAGAAGGGCAATCTCCTTATACATCAACGGACGCACACTGGCGAGAAGCCCTATGTGTGCACCGAGTGTGGAAAAGGCTTCAGCCAGAAAACTTGCCTTATATCGCATCAGAGATTTCACACCGGAAAGACTCCCTTTGTGTGTACCGAGTGCGGAAAGTCTTGCTCGCACAAGTCGGGCCTCATTAACCATCGGAGAATTCACACAGGGGAGAAGCCCTATACGTGCAGTGACTGTGGAAAAGCTTTCAGGGATAAGTCGTGCCTCAATAGACATCGAAGAACTCATACCGGAGAGAGACCCTATGGGTGCTCTGACTGTGGGAAAAGCTTCACCCACCTGTCATGCCTGGTGTACCATAAGGGAATGTTGCACACCAGAGAGAGAGGCATAGGTTCCATCAAGTTGGAAAACTCTTTTTCAAAGCATCACAGCTCAGCTCATTTGAGTGAGGGAGTACAGGAGAAGACCCTGGTTGATACGGTGACTGTTGAGATGCCTTCAGTGGCAGGTCAGATTTTGTTACACATCAGCGGGTTCCTAGCAGATCGGAACGTAGCCACTGTGGGACCAACAGGTGCCAGAGGCGCAGCCTCAGCAGCTAACAGAATTGGCACAGAGAAACCTTATGAATGCAGGGAATGTGGTAGCACCTTCAGTGACCAGTTATGTCATATGGTGTGTCTCAAAAAACACACAGGCGTACACTGTAATACAATCAAGGCGGAAGACCCTTGAATTAAACATTCTAGCTCATTATGTGGCTAACAAGTGTCTGCTGAGACAAGTGTGCACACAGACTGGGAGAGCCTTTTGCAGCACCATAGGCCTAATCCGGGCTGCTTCATGTGTCACGTGTCATGGGTGAGCTCCTGGTTGGTAGAAGTATAATGACCATGGGAAATCCTTTTCTGGAAATAAGACTTCAGTAGGTGGTAAAGGCTTTACGCAAGGGAGAAATTGTTGGAATTTTGAAGTCAGTGATCATAGCAGGGTTGTCTACTTCATCCATTGAGAGAGGAAACCCAAGAAATAAAACTGGGCACACTAACTGGAACATCTTCAGCAAAATATCAAAAAAATGTATGAAGCAAATAAGGCCTGTGAGAATGAAGAAGACTAGGGATTTGTGTCAAAATTCTAACATAATTATACATCAGATCGTAGACACAGTGTACATTGTAGGACAATATACCTTGAATCGAACTCCTAGTTGATATGTCTGTGAGGACTCCTTAATTTAATATGCTTTTTTAAAAAAATTATTTTTGTTTATTTCAAAGAGGAAGGGAGAGACAGAAACATCAATGATGAGAGAGAGCCATGGATCAGCTGCCTCCTACACGCCCCCTACTGGGGATCGAGCTTGCAACGCAGGCATGTGCCCTTCACCAGAATCCAACCCCAGACCCTTCAAACTGCAGACTGTCGCTCTACCCACTGAGCCAAACCAGCTAGGGCAGGACTCCTTAATTTAAAGGAGATTGTCTGGCAAAACCGGTTTAGCTTAGTGGTAGAGCGTCGGTCTGTGGACTGAAAGGTCCCAGGTTCGATTCCGGTCAGGGCCATGTACGTTGGTTGCAGGCACATCCCCGGTAGGGGGCGTGCAGGAGGCAGCTGGTCCATGTTTCTCTCTCATCGACGTTTCTAGCTCTCTATCCCTCTCCCTTCCTCTCTGTAAAAAACCAATAAAATATATATTTAAAAATAAATAAATAAATAAAGGAGATTGTGTTGCACCCTCCCCCTGTTGGGGGCATGAATCTATTTTCCCACGTAGGAACATTATATGGCCAGCTCTTGCATTTCTTCGGTTCTAAATTTATTCCGTTTGTATTTTAGATGACTGAAGTCTTACAAAAGGAAACAATACATTTAATCCTACAGTATAACAGCACATTTGGATGAGCTAACGTTATAAGCATTACCCTGAAACAGAGCTCAAAACTCACAAATAACCTGTCAGGCAAGCTTTTGCTCAAAAGATAGTTTCCCATCCTTATGCACACCACTCAGAAAAACATTAACCATTTCCTTTTTTTTTTTTTTTTTTTTTTTTTTTAATATATTATATTGATTTTTTTTTTTTACAGAAAGGAAAAGAGAGGGATAGAGAGTTAGGAACATCAATGACTGAGAAACATCAATCAGCTGCCTCTTGCACACCCCCTACTGGGGATGTGCCTGCAACCAAGGTACATGCCCTTGACTGGAATCAAACTTGGGACCCTTCAGTCCACAAACTGACACTATCCACTGAGCCAAACCAGTTAGGGCTAAAAATATCTATTTATTGATTTCAGAAAAGAAGGGGGAGAGAGAGAGAGAGAGAGAAACATCATTGATCGGCTGCCTCCTGCACGCTCCACACTGGGGATCAAGCCCACAACCTGGACTTGTGCCCTGACTTGGCATCAAACTGTGACCTGGTTTATAGGTTGATGCTCAACCACTGAGCCATGCCGGCCAGGCTAATGTTCTTTTAACATAGGTGAGTATGCACCTGATTGTCTCTTTAGTTTTTTTTCTTTAGACATATTAAAATATTTTATTCCTTACAACATTTTAAGCCTACTTATTAAACATGTCATATTTGAATAATTATTGTCTCTGCCACCGTTCTAATCCACCAAGCCTGGGAAGGCCCTTTATTAATTGTAACACTGTGTTTTATTAATCTTTATATCACCCACATATGTATATTGTTTGGCCAATTGGTGCACATATATGATTCTTGGTTAGCTAAAGGATTTAATGTCTGTGCATTATAGAAATACCTAATTTGTTGAAGACTAAATTGTAATAGCAGAATATTCTAATAATACTTTTCCTTCTACCTTGAGTCCTGCTTAGAGAACAAGAAATAGGAAAATTCAGTCACTGTCTTATATTTACATCACAAGCCCAGGATTATTGGGTAAATTCACTCTAATATTTTAATCACCCAAATGTAGCCATCTCAATACTTACTCTATTCTGGGATGCAATCATTAGATAATTGAGAACAGGCAAATTTCATGACTCATTTGTTTCCTACAAGAATCACCTTGTAAAGGTGACATAGGATAGGCCAAGGGCATAAGCAAGGACAATTCTAGCATCTCACTTCAGAAACGGGGTCAACATAGTACTCTTAATGGAGGAGTCAGAAGATGCAGCTGACTTCCTGCTTTGGCCCGTGGCTATATGTATCAGGTACATCTCGGGAATTATAAGGGCCTATGGGGTTGAACATCATGTGAGCAAGTAGATGAACCTGCTGTCTGTGCACAGCCCGCCTCCTCAGGATCTCTGGTGCCTCCTGGTGAGTTAGGACTCTAGCTCAGAGCTGAAGCCAATATAAATAGGAGCTGAAGCAGGTCTAGCAATGGGTAGCAGGCCTGCAAATGGCTGGTAAAGACCACTTGGTGAGGTGATACAGATGCATACGACTGTGGGAAATTTAATTCTTTGAGGTTGTTTTATTTTTTGAATGTTCCTAGAAGTTCCATTTGCAATATCCAAAAAAGGAAACCACCTGGAAGCAACCTAAAAGTCCCACTGATAAACGATTAAACATATTTTGGACTACCTGTACAGTGGAATATTGAGCAACAAAAGGAACTTATTGATACTTCAAAACAATTATGTTGACCTAACGGTTTTGGCTCAGTGGATGGAGCCTGCAGACTGAAGGGTCCCAGGTTGGATTCCAGTCAAGGGCATTCATTACCTTGGTTGGGGGCACATCCCCCATGGGGGGTATGAGGGGGGCAGCTGCTCCGTGTTTCTAATTCTATCCCTCTCCCTTCCTGTCTGTAAAATTAAAACAGCAGCAAACAATTACGTTGTGTCAAAGAAGGCAGATGAAAAGGTTTCCTACAGAAAGTGTCTATTCATACAATACAGACTAATGTATGGTGAAAGGCAGCTCAATGCCTGCTTAGGATGCATGTAGCATGTTTTGTGCTCGGGCAGGTTAGAATGAGGCTGCAAAGAGCCTGGCAACGTCCTTCATTTCTGCTCACGTTGTGATCACCCTCCCCTGGACCGCCGCCTTTTTCCAAACCTGGTTGGTTCTCGGAACGCACTGCCACCTGCCGGGTGCGCGCTGAGCTCCCGAGACCGTTAGTTCTGTACGGAACCGCACTTCCCCCAAGATGGCGGCGCCCACGCGCTCGCGCCTCATGGCTTTTTATCGCCCCGCCTGCTTTTCTGCCAAACCTGCTTACGTTTTTATACGGCCCCTAAATCTCTTCGCAATTAAGACTAGTGACTGGGGTGTCCGGAACTTTTTTTTTTTTACTTTTCCACCGAGCGGAGGCGTCACAGCCGTAACGGCGGCCCAGAACGTACGCCGGGCCCTTTAGGTGCCCATGGGCTCCAGCCTTTGAAGTGTCCCCCACATCACGTGAATTTCCCCGCACGTCACGGGCCTGCTGGGACCTCGGGCCTCTGAAAAGCCTCTCCATATTCCTCTCTAAGGGCTGACGGGCCGGACTCCTCTCGGCGTCGCGTCGGCCGGCCGCGGACGCAGAAGCCTCTGTACGTCAGGCGTGCCAAGATGGCGGCCCCCTGTTGCCGAGGCGACGGCGGCGCGGGCCCATGACGTCATAAGGGAAAGCCCGGAACCTGTATTCCGTTCTCCATAGAAACGGGGCAGAAACCTCCCTGTGCCGCGGTCGCGGGACCTTCTCTGGAGCGGAGGGCAGGAGGGAGGCGTCTGGGGAAGTAAGTTGGGCCCGCAGAGGTCGCTGCAGGCTCCGGAGGGGGTCCGGCCGTGCGCGGGGTGTCCGGCGGCGGGCGGGGGGCGGGGGTGGGGGTAGGGGCGGCAGCAGGTGTGAGTGGGTGAAGGTAGCGCCGGGCGGGGAGCACGAGGAATCTCCTGGGTGTCTGGGAACGGGGTGTCCTGGGGGTCAGTCGTGGGGCTGGGGTCGGGGGTCGTCGCTGGTGGTCAGTGACTAACGGTCTAAACGGATCCTCTTCGGAGGGTCTGGGGTCAGGGGTCAGGGGTCAGGGGTCACCGCCTTTGGTGGCTGACAGTTAGCGGGCTGCAGTGTGTCAGAGACACGCGGGCGGCCCGGCCCGTCCGGCTCAGGCTCTGCGGAAACCTGGAGCCGGTGACGGAGGGATGGTGAAGGGAGGTCAGTGTGCGGGCAGCCGGCCTGGTTCGGGGCTTAACCCCGCGGGGGGCGGGAGGGAGCAATGTCTTCGGTGCCGAGATGCGTGACAGCGGAAGGCGTGGAGGCTCGGGGCGCCGGTGCTTCCGCCTTGAGCTCAGGCTCCTGGACCAGGTCTCTCCGCCACATCCTCCCAGTCCTTTCCACCCGCAGAAATAAAAGTCTTAGGGGTAGGTGAACCATTCAGCATATTTAAAATTAATGAGATTTTTTTTTTTTACAATATATTTTTTATTGACTTGTTACAGAGAGGAAGGGAGAGGGAGAGAGGAACAGCAATGATGAGAGAGAATTACTGATTGGCTGCCTCCTGCACCCCTGACATGGGATCAAGCCCCCAACCCCAGGCATGTGCTCTGACCAGGAATGGAACCGTGACCTCCTGATTCAGAGGTTGACACTCAACCACTGAGCCACGCCGGCTGGGCTGTAGTTTAAAGGAAAGATTCACAGTTCCTCACTGTCCGTAGGACCTCATTTCTATTATTGTTCTGAAATTTACCTACCACTGAGGCACAGTGTTGTGCCGTTCTCCTTTGCCACTCTCTCTTTCACATTCAAGCTACTTATATCTCCAGGGTCTTCTGTTTCATCACCTCAGGTGTGCTCTCCAGGGAACTAACTACTGAGCAGAATACTGGGGACCGTGGGTAAAGGTGAGTGCGTAGCCAGGGGAATGTAACCCTGAATGTGATCTTGCTCTTCGCCTCACAGGTTTGGACAAGAGAAAAGAATGAAGAAAGCGGAGGTTCCAGGACCTAAATATTGTCCTTCCTAGGAACTCTTTCAGCTGGAGAGCAGGATTTTTAACTAGAAATTTCGGACATATCGAGAGAAGACAAAGACGAGTACACCGGCTGCTGGCCATTTCCCCCAACTGCAGGAGATGACGGAGGCCCAGGTGACGTTTGTTTTATTCTCTTTATTGCCTAATGGATTGGTAGTGGCCTGTAAAAACCAGTTCAGTATCCAGAGTGAAATAAACTTTGAATTTAACTCCAACATCAAGGCAAATTAGGATCAAGAAAATAGTATTCGCTGAAACCGGTTTGGCTCAGTGGATAGAGCATCCATCTGTGGACTGAAGGGTCCCAGGTTCAATTCCGGTCAAGGGCATGTACATTGGTGTTGTGGGGATGTGCCCGAGGCAGCTGGTCGATGTTTCTCTCTCATCGATGTTTCTAGCTCTCTATCTCTCTTCCTTCCTCCTCTCTGTAAAATATCAATAAAATATATATATTTTTAAAAATAGTATTCATGCCCTAGCCTTTTTGGCTCAGTGGATACAGCGTCCAACTGTGGCTCAGAGGGTCCTGGGTTTGATTCCGGTCAAGGGCACTTACTTTGGTTGTCGGCTCCTCCCCAGGAGGCAACCAATCGATGTGTTTCTCTCGCATCTATGTCTCTCTCTATCTTTACCTTTCTCTTCCACTCTTTCCTAAAAATAAATGGGAAAATATCCTAGGGTGAGGATTAACAAAACAAAAAGAAAGGAAATTTAAAAAAGAGAATATAGTGCCCTAGACGGTTTGGTTCAGTGGATAGAGCATCAGCCTACGGACTGAAGGGTCCCAGGTTTGATTCTAGTCAAGGGCACATGCCTAGGTTGTGGACTCAGTCCCCAGTGGAGGGCGTGCAAGGAGGCAGCCGATCAATGATTCTTTCTCATCATTGATGTTTCTATCTCTCTTGCCGTCTCCCTTCCTCTCTGAAATCAATAAAATATGTATATTAAAAAAAGAATATAGTATTCATATGATTCTGAGTAAATGACTAATGTTAGCATGTAACATAAAATTGAAGGATCCTCTGGGTTACATTAGCTATCAACTTGTGTCTAATTCGACACAACAAGAGAATCATGCTACATTATATGATACTAGTGTGTATCATATATTGTGAGGAGACAGCAGACGGTCCCTCGGGGAATGTCAATATTTCTTGGCACTGAGGTCTCAGGAAAAATGTTATACTAGTATTCTTCCTAGAGGTGATGGGTGGATAGTGTTTTGAACTTCTAATAAAGGTATAGGCAGCCCTAGCTGAAGGGTCCCAGGTTTGATTCCAGTCAGGGCACCTGCCTGGGTTGTGGGCTCGATCCCCAGTGGGGGTCATGCAGGAGGCAGCCTATCAATGATTCTCTCACATCATTGATGTTTCTATCTTTCTTTCCCTTTCCCTTCTTCTCTGAAATCAATTATATATATATATATTGGGTTCCAGGGGTTTGCTTTTAACGCCACTTCATCTTGGAAAATATAGAATCCATCACCATTTTCACTATATATATATATATATATATATATTTTTTTTTTTTTTTTTTTTAAGGCAGAGGCAGATTCCGTACTGCTGTTCATTCCAGGGGTCCTCACACAAGAAGGCAAACTCAGTGAACACAGTTTTATCAGGGACCATGGAGAGTCACTCAGAGGACTCAGCCTTGTGTCTGGGTTTATCTGGTAATAAAGTCCAAATGGCCTAATAAAATGGGAAGATTGCATGGCTTTCTTTTTTTAATTTTTTTATTGATTTATTTTAGAGAGAAAAGGGAGAGAGAGACATTAATTTGCTATTCCACTCATTCCCACATTCATTGGTTGCGCCCTGAGTGGGATGGAACCTGAAATGTTAATGTATCGGACAGTGCTCCAACAACTGAGCTACCCAGCCAGGGCTGCATGGCTTTCACATGTTCTTTCATCAACACGAAGCTGAGCCGCTAAAGTTCAGATTTGGCCTCAGGTGGCTGCAAGAAATTGTGTCTGTTAAGAGCTTGAGTTATTCGGTTCCAGGGGTTTGCTTTTAACGCCACTTCATCTTGGAAAATATAGAATCCATCACCATTTTCAAATCCAATTCTTACCTCTTCTTTCTTTGCTTTTCTAAATTATGCAAATTATGCAAATTACTCATATCTGTTTTTAAAAATATGATTTTATTGATGAGAGAAACATCGATCAGCTGCCTCCTGTCCAGCTCTGGAACTGGGATCGAGCCTGCAACCTGGCATGTGCCCTGGCCAGGAATTGAACTGGTGATCTTTTGGTGCACTGGATGATGCTCAACTTACTGAGCTACACTGGCTAGAGTTCACAGATATATTTTAAAGAAAAATATTCAATGATGAGTGCCCCTGGGCAAAAAAGTAAATTTTTTCTTTATAATGTCTTTCCTCATTGTCCCTCATACTACTTTATTTAAAAATATATTTTATTGATTTTTCTACAGAGAGGAAGGGAGAGGAATAGAGAGTTAGAAACAATGATGAGAGAGAAACATGGATCAGCTGCCTCCTGCACACCCCCTACTGGGGATGTGCCCTTGACCGGAATTGAACCTGGGACCCTTCAGTCTGCAGGTGGATGCTCTATCCACTGAGCCAAACCAGTTATGGGCCCTCATACTGCTTTAACAAATGTTCGCTAGTGTGTGTTGCTGTCACTAAACCTATATGTGCATTTATATATATGTGCCTATTTACCAATGTATGTGGATTTGTGTACATATATGAGTACATTAACACATCTACTGTGACACTTATGTATCAATGGACTCATACTTCAAATAACATGATAGTGATTTTTGGAAGCTGTGTGCTGTAGTTTCAGCCGGAAGTGTCTACATGCAGATTTCCTGCCTGGCTTTGCTGGATTACTGAGTCTGAGTTATAGGAAGTTTAATCAGTTCTGACATTTTCTCATTCTGGAGATCTTCGTTTCACTTTTCTGTTTCTGTATAATTTCTTCCAAAAACTGCATACAGGCCTATGTTAGACCTTGCTCTATCTATATTTATTGAACTCGCCTTTAAATTTTCCATCTCTTTCTGGGGCTGCTTCATTTTGGGTTATTTTTTTAATGAGTATTCCACTTTATTAATTGTCTCCCCAGTGTATCTAATATGTTAATCTTTTGTGAAGTAATAAATATATACATTAGCTGGCCAGCTAGCTCAGTTGATTAGAGCGTCATCCTGATTCGCCAAGGTTGTGGGTTTGATCCCCTGTAAGAGAACATAGAAGAAGCAACCAATGAATGCATAAATAAGTGGAACAACAAATTGATATCTTTCTGTCTCTCCTCCTCTTCCTCCTCTTTCTTCTCCTCCTCCTTCTCCTCTTCTTCCTCTTCTTCTTCCTCCTTCTCCTTCTTCTTCTTCTTCTCCTTTTTCTCCTTTTTCTCCTCTTTCTCCTTCTCCTTCTCCTCCTCCTTCTTTTTCTTCTTCTTCACTTTCTCTAATATCAATTTTAAAAAAAATTTTTAAGGCCACATTACAATTGGTGTCAGAAGAGTAGTTAATATGAACAGGACAACTTCCTTTATATTATTTATGGCCAGTAAAAGAAAAACACTCCCTGGTAAACAGGCCCGTGTTGTTACAGGAACCGCTGACGCTGGAGGATGTGGCCGTGGACTTCACCTGGGAGGAGTGGCAGCTCCTGGGCCCCGAGCAGAAGATCCTGTACAGGGACGTGATGCTGGAGACCTACCGCCACCTGGTGTCCGTGGGTGAGGACAGCTCCCCCGTGCCAGTCCGAGGGCGCCCAGTCAGTAGCCCTTCCTTTCCCAGCTGCTTATACTTGGGAGTCTCTGCAGTGCCCCGAATGGCTCCTCTGGCTCCGGATAAAGCATATAACACACCATAGCTCTACCAGCACAACTGACACCAACTGGGTGGGGGTTTCCTACACCAGCAGTAATTCTCCACCTCTCCCTGTACCAGCTGGGTGTCCTGCAGCTCCATTCAAGTCTGTGTTGACACTAATACCCAGAGGTAGCATCAGACTCCACAGGTGTAAGGGCTCATACCACAGCACCACACTCACTTCAGATGCCAGTCCCAAGTACTGTGTATCCAGGGTGCATCTTGGCTATACATCTGTCCAACGTGGCTGTGAATTTGGTGTTCCAGCAACGTGCCGTGCCAACTCAGGTTTCATAGTTCACTGGGATGGCTCCTAGGACTCAGGAAGGCACTTGTTATCATGATCGGTTTATTATAAAGTTTAAAAAAAATAATTTAGAAACAGCCAACTGGAAGAGATATATAGGGAAGAGTGTGGAGAAAGGGGTATGGACCTTCATGCCCTCTGCAGGCACGCTGCCCTCCCAGAATCTCAATGTGGTCAAGCTGGTAGCTCTCCCACCCAGTTATTTAGGGATGTTTAGGGAAAGTACATGATGTAAGCATGCCTGCTTAAATTGTTGGCCATTGGTGATTCATTTTCTCTCCAGCCCTCTCCCTCTCCACAGTGAGGGGAAGGGTTGGAGTTGAAGGCTCCAGCCCTCGAGTCACGTCTTTGCCTTCCCGCATCAGTCCCACCCGGAAGCTGTCCACGGCCTCCAGCCACCTCCTCAGCACACGGAAGGCACTCCTCACTCTGAGGAGCCCAGGGGGGTTGGCAGCTCTAGTGTTAGGGACGGGAACTTACACTATCGGAAAAGGTGCCCCCATTATGCTGTTCACGTAGGACAGTGGTTGACAAACTCATCAGTCAACAGAGCCAAATATCAACGGTACGATGATTGAAATTTGAGAGCTGAAAACCAACTTCTGTGCACGGGCCATGAAGTTTCAGTCGTGCTGTATGTGCGCGCCCACTCGGGGTATTTTGTGGAAGAGCCACACTCAAGGGGCCAAAGAGCCGCGTGTGGCTCGTGAGCCGCGGTTTGCCGACCACTGACTTAGGAAACTGCAAGGGCTTTAGGAGTTCTGTGCCAGAACCTGAACTAAGACCAGACACACAGTGTATCAGTGTCACATGCGCCCTCTCCTGAGAGCAAAGTCTCTGAATGTGCGACCTGTTTCCTGTGAACAGGGTATGAAGTCAGCAAACCAGATGCTCTCTCCAAGTGGGAACAAGGGGAAGAACCGTGGGTCATAGAGGATGAACTCCACACACTGGTCTGCCCAGGTGAGTGGGTGTGAACCAACAAGGCAGGTGTGAGGGAGGAAAATCATTTCCTTCCACTCTTCTAAGTTCTTCTGGCCCTGCTAATAATCAAATCGACATGAAACAGAGTAAAAGGAGGAAATAACCAAATTTGTTACATATGTACATACAGGGGCTCTAAGGATATGGGGCTGTAAGGACAAATCAGGGGACGAGGTAAGGATAATGAGGTGGGCAGGGTAGTGATTTGGGGCTTCAGAGGAGAGGAAGTCAATCCACATGGAGATGACCAAGCTAATATTTGATAAATAAATGTTTGCTGGACCATCAACAATGGGACTCAGAGAGGAGTTGGATTAAAAGGGCCTTGCCAAAAATAGATCCAGAGACAAATGGGAGGTTAGGGTTAGAGTTAGGGTTAGGGTTAGGGTTAGGGAGCAACCAAAGGACTTGTATGCATGCGTATTAGCATAACCAGTGGACACAGACACTGGGGCAGTGGGGGCTTCCCGAGTTGAGAATGATTGGGGGGCAGGGTGTCAATCAAGGAAAAAGGAAGCATATGTAAAACTTTAGACAATTAAGGGGGGGGGGGGGGAGCTTGCTAGGCTCCTCCCTGTCTATCGCACCTAGATCATATTAATCTGTAGTTGTCTATGATGGTATCTCCCTTCCTGGAGCAAGCCCTCTCTCTAAATTCTTACAGGCAGTGAGGGCCAATGTCAAAGCTTTTTCTTATGTCTTTCTTTTCTTAAAAATAGCCTGCTTAAAATAATCAATATTTAGATGGCAAAATCTGCTTCCCCTCATGGGTTACTGCAGAAGTCATATTCTGGTCAGAGAAGGCGGACAGGATGGGGGATGGGAGGTTTGAGGATACAGAAACAGTGCCCCCATATCTCTCCCCTTAGCAGAACTTTTCTTCAAGTCTTCAAAGGAACATAAACCTTTTTTCCCTCTTTTCTCTGGAGAACTGATCCTCGCTTATTTTATCTAACATCTTTAAAAAGTATATTTTTATTGACTTCAGAGAGGAAGGGAGAAGGAAAGAGAGAAACATCAATGACGAGAGAGAATCATAGATTGGCTTCCTCCTCCATTGGGAATCGAGCCCACAACCTGGCCATGTGCCCTTGATTGGAGTTGAAACCAGGACCCTTTAGTCCACTAAGCAAAACCAGCTAGGGCTATCTCCACATTTTTAACTCCACTTATATCTCCAACCACATCTTGATGACTATAATCATCTGATAGTTTATACTCACATGTAATCATTTGATAGGTTATATTCCACAATGCAAACTTTTTTTTCCCCCTGCACATTCTGGATTTTAGTAATAATCCTTATCTTGATTTGAGATGTTTCTACATACCCAGTGGCTCAAGTCAAGTTAGCAGAGTAATCCTGGATTCTTCACTTTCATTAACCACTCTCCCCATGGAACCCATCATTCAGGTGTCATTTCTCTATGCCAGTGGTTCTCAACCTTCCTAATGCCTCAACCCTTTAATACAGTTTCTCATTGGATGATGACCCCCAAGCTTAAAATTATTTTCGTTGCTACTTCATAACTGTAATTTTGCTACTGTTATGAATTGTAATGTAAATATCTGTTTTCCGATGGTCTTAGGCGACCCCTGAGAAAGGGTCATTCGACCCCCAAAAGGGTGGTTGAGAACAGCTGCTCAAAGCAAATAAATCCTGATTTCCTTCAATTTCCAGATCTTCATTGCTCCTTTAATCCATGTTTAATAAACTCCAACTGCTTACTCTTCTTTTTTCTTTCCTTTTCAGTTTTCCCTAACTAGATTTAAGATCAGTGAAAGTAAGGCCTATTTTAAATATTCCAAACACCAGCATAGTACCTGGTACAGGAGGCCATTCAATAAGTAATTTTGGTCTGAACAAATGCAACCCTCATCATGTGGATTAGTTTTCTCTTTCACCTCTGGGATCTGCATCTTTCTAAGTTCTGTGGAAAGGTATTCCTCCAAACCTTGTCCTTTGCTGCAAAAATATGACTTGTATTTTACTCTCTACATGTTTTGAAAGGTCCAAAGCAGCTAAATCTACATAAATGGTCAACTACCTTAGTGGTATGCTGCTTATTCCTTTTTGTTTGTATTATTGTGTTTTTATCAAAGTGTAAAAAATACAACATTTACACATGGTGTATTTTTTTTAATATATATTATTGACTTTTTTACAGAGAGGAAGGCAGAGGGAGAGAGTTAGAAACATTGATCAGCTGCCTCCTGCACACCCCCACTGATGTACCGCAACCACAGTACATGCCCTTGACCGGAATCAAATCTGGGACCCTTCAGTCCGCAGGCTGATGCTCTATCCACTGAGCCAAACCGGTCAGGGCACATGGTGTATTATTACAGTGTTATCACAGGATTGTCACTAAAGTGCCATTTAAAAAAAGAAAAGAAAAAAGAATAGTTTAAAAATAAAAAGTTTAATTCCAAACAAGCTTGTAAAAAGATTCATTGTTTTCTTTCCTAGACACTGGCAAAATTGATAATTATCTCCTGGGTCACTGGGACAATCAAAGAATGTTGGAAGATATGGAACAAAAGCACAAACAAGATACATTTGGAAATATTGTTCCTCAAAGCGAAAGGCATCTTCCTTTCAGGCAAAATCATGATGTGTTTGACTTCTACATGAAAACTCCGAAATCAAATTTAAGTTTAGTCAAACAGAGTAAAAGCTATGAAACTAAGAACTCTGCTAAGTTGAATGGAGATGGAAAGTCATTTTGGCATGGCAAACATGATTTTCATCCTGCAGTTAAATTTCCTGTCAGTGCAAAACCCATTAGCAGTAAGTCCCAGGTCATTGAGCATCAGAGGATTCAGGAGGTAGAGAAAGCCCACGTGTGCAGTGAATGTGGGAAAAGCTTTGCTAGGAAATCTCAGCTCACTGATCACGAGAGAGTTCACACAGGAGAGAAACCTTATAGATGTAGTTTGTGTGCAAGAATATTCTCCAGAAAGTCCAGGTTCAATGAACATCAGAAAATTCATGAAAGAGAGAAATCCTTTATATGCAGTGACTGTGGCAAAGCCTTCACCCTGAAGTGCCGTCTGGTTGAACACCAGCGAACTCACAGTGGAGAGAAACCCTATGTGTGCAACGAATGTGGAAAAGGCTTCCCAGGGAAGCGTAATCTCGTTGTACATCAACAGAATCACACTGGAGAGAAAGGCTACATCTGTGGTGAATGTGGGAAAGGCTTCACTGGGAAAAGCAAGCTCATCATACACGAGCGAACTCATACTGGAGAGAAGCCCTACACCTGCAGTGACTGTGGGAAAGCTTTCACCACGAAGCACTATGTCTTCATACATCAACGAAATCATACGGGAGAGAAACCATACGTGTGCAATGAGTGTGGGAAAGGATTCACCATGAAGAACCGTCTGATCGAACACCAGCGAACTCACACTGGAGAGAAGCCCTATGTGTGCAGTGAATGTGGAAAAGGCTTTACCAGGAAGAGTAACCTCATTGTGCATCAGAGAAATCACACAGTAGAGAAATCCTACGTATGTGACGAATGTGGAAAAGGCTTCACTGTGAAGAGCATGCTTATCATACATCAG